TGGGGTCACTGTAGACAGACCAAGAAGTGGACGTCCACGCATCACAACGCCAGCTGAAGATAGGTACCTCCGTCATTAAGGAAGGAGGGTAACGTTTCTTTTGTCGTTTAGTGTATATTTCGACGCTCTGTAAATAACCGAGGTTTGCCCATGGCCGACTTTTGAAAAGAGACCTAAGGACGAAGTCTGCTTTAGACATATGCTAAGCATAGGATTTAAGCCCAAGCGTTAAGGCTCTTTGTGTAAGTGAACACCTGGACACCAGCAGTTGAAAGCACAAGCTATGGCAGGCAGGCACTCAGTCATCCGTTCCCCTTTAAGATATAATGTGAATCTATTCTACAGAATCAATATTTATAACTCATTAAACAAAATGAACGAACTCTCCGAACTTAATCTTGACACAATTGTACCACCTCGTCTATTACATATTGACTGACTGACTGAATGACTGACTGAGTTTGGTTTTACGCCGGTTTTAGCAATATTCCAGCAACATCACGGCGGGGGACACCAGAAATGGGCTTCACACATTGTACCTATGTGGGGATTCGAACCCGGTCTTCGGCGTGACGAGCCAACGCTTTAACCACTAGGCTACCCCACCGCCCCATTTTATATATTGAACTGACAACTGATAATACTTTAAAGAGTGACAAAACTATTTGCAAATGTGGTTGATAATTTTGATTCCTGTCGGTGATACCGAAGAGCTCCCCTGTTGATAAAGTGCTAGAGCGTCAACAATCCTCTTTGATCGAGAATGGATTACTTACAGTCTGTCATGGTCTGTTGACAGCGGCGTAAAACAACATGCCTTTTGTTACTCACACAACGTTGCGGGTAGCTTATGATGGATTTTTTGCTTATGACGTTACAAGGTTTTAAATTATTCCTGAATGTATATTTGGAGCATATAAAGAATTTGAACCCTAATAAAACCAGGACGTTAAAACTCAGTCGACTGAGATGGAATTAATAATTCGCAAATGTTTCTTTCGTAAGTGCAACAATGACTTCTGTGTTCTGAGTTCTGAGAATGATGACGTAATGATACACGGCGTTACTGATGACCACTGGCATTTAGTCTCAGTATTCTTGACGTAATGTCTGGCATCTAAAACATCAACTTCAAACGAAGTGAAATTATTCCGAGATGTATTTAACACCATGTTACCCCCTACAGTGTCAGCTCCGTCTACAGGTTCTAGAGAAGTTGAAAATGTGGAAGCCATGAGAACACATGGAAGCGAAATGAACTTGAAAGGTTACAAAGATTCTAACGCGAAAACGGCTTCACCAAGACGCAAACATGATTTTACGGCCCATTGGTATTAATTACAAAGTGTTAAATTGTGGTGCACTCGGAATTGGCATATCTACAAATACTTCTTGCATTGTGTAATATCTTAATACGAAATAACCAATTTTCTTCGGAAAGGGAACATTCAAGAATTTTTTCACAAATCGACAATGACATTGATGTCTTTTAGCAGCATTTGGAAGTTGTTATAGATGACCAAGATATTTTATGGATTTAAGCTTCTTTATTCTTTCCCACCCAATAACATTGTTCCAAACGCGCGGGTCTGTGGAGGTAGTCTAGTGGTTAAAGCGTTCGCTCGTCACGCCGAGGACCCGGGTTCAAATCCCCACATCTTTACAATGTGTGAAGTCCATTTCTGTTGATATTGCTGGAATACTACTAAAAGCGGCGTAAAACAAAACCCACTCACTCACTAAAAAAACCTCCATATCAAGTTCACAAATAGCACCCAGGCATTCGACCTTGACCTACAGGTTAACATATCGGAGATATCTTGGTTCTGATGATCCCAATGTGAACACAATAACTCTGCCACCGTGTGATGACCTGGGATCTTTGACCCCATTAACATGTCGAGTTGCTGTGTATGACACGACATAAAGTTCAAAGTGCTGGCAATTGTACAGGTAGCCTCCAGATAGTAAATGCCAGTGTTGCTGGGGATGCTGGGCAGGTGTCGGGATGTATCTAAACGAGAGATGCGGTTACATCACAGCACCCAGTGTTGTGTATACATCATGTAGCAAGATAGCTTCAAGGTTTGGTCTGACATCTTGCTGCTCCGTTCGTTGTCCGAATGAAAGTAGGTCTCCATCAATCCCTGTCAATATTGGCGATCTAATGGATAGATGGTTAAGGACGGTGAAGTGCGTGTTTCCCAACCGCGATGGAAAACGACGGTGTTTACAATATCAATCACTGGCAATACCATATCTACAAATACTTCTTGCCTGTTGCATTATTTGAATGCGACATAGCAGATTTTCTTGGAAAGGTGGACGATCATTGTCACGAATCAACAATGACATTGTTCCAGTGACTGACATCATGAGCATTGGTCTGCGCAAATTGGATACGATGACATGTGTCAACCAAGTCAGCGAGCCTGACCACCCCACCCCGTTAATCGTCTCTCACGACAAGCATGGCTTGACAAATTCTAGCATAGATTTTCACGGGTCCGCTTTCACAGCGATCGTTACCGTATCATTCAGTACCATAGGCGGATCCAGAGGCGTACTTATATGGTAACATGAGCCCCTAGTACCACTTCTACATCTGAACATGTTTTCAATGTAGAAATTTGATCACTGGATTGTCTCGTTCAGACTAGATTATTTACAGACCGCCGCCATATAGCTGGATTATTGCCGAGTGCGGCGTAAAACAAAACTCACTCACTCACTCAATGTAGAAATGGTTTGCTTGTGTTTCCAACTTAAAACTCCACATAATCATCAACAACACGTAATCAATCCCATTTCAGCGGAAGTATCAATGATGTGGACCCCATTCCTTCATTTACCACGGTTATCATACGCCTATTAGAAACTTTGGCGTTTGATCATCCATATACCTTGGTTTACTCCCATGAGAACTACATCCCAAATTAACTACAGGGATATAATTAGGGATGAATTATCTGAGTAGAGGCACCCCCATGGCATGTAATAAAGCACAGCCCATCAGCTTTCCCAGAAGAACTACATGCTTAAAATCCTATTGACCAGTAATTATGTTGCCTCTCAAAGAAATGATGTTGTTGTAAAGGTAATCTAATAACCAGAAAGTAAAGGACAAGAGCGAAGGGTATGCTGTAGTTAGTTAATGTTCTTATATTCATATGATAGCAAAAAAACAAGCCAAGCTTAGTATATTGGAGTAAAGGTAAAGGTATATTGGAGTAAAGGCGATATATAAACGAATGAGTTTTTAAGTTAAGATAGTATTGTTATACACTGTAACCCAGGACCTCGATGCAGTTGGCTACTTATTGAAGCTGGGTTAAACTAGTTCTACATGGATCAGATTGAACACTGAGGATGAAAGTGACACTAGATTATCACACTAAATATATAAGCCTACCTAGATGAACTATCTATCCATCTATATATAAAACTCCAGACTTTATCTGCACCAGATCTTTCGCCGGTCAACGGTTCTTCATGTGTACAATGAAAAGTAGGTGTAGTCATAGGCCACGCATAACGGTAGTAGCTATGTCGTCATCATGTGTATGACGTTACAGTTAGTGACAATAGGTAATATGTAATAGATATATAAGACATATCTTCTTAGGTAGTTGAAAATGCTGTTCTTAAAGCAGTAAAAGTCCCAGGAGAGACACTTAAACCAAAGCAACAAATACAGAGATGGACATTCTTCTATTTGTTTGTACCTACAATCCTAATAACTGTACAATTATGCCCATTATAAAAGCAAATCTTCCAATTTTGTATAAAAGTGATACTGTGATTAAAGGTTTATCAGTCAGTGTAATAAAATGTCAAACACCTCGATGTGGAACTTGTTCAATCATAACTGAAGACTGCAAATTTACATTTTGTGAAGGCAAACTATTTACTATCAAAACCAACATGAACGTGCATGTGAGGACGCAGAAATTACGTATCAGGTTGAGACGATGACGTATCGTGCGGTGTGATATCTCAAATCAGCACTTCGAACGCACACCGAGTTCAACCATCCATCTGACGCCCTTATAGCCACCTTGGAAGAGTGATCGATTGATTGAGTGAGTGAGTGAGCATGTTTTTACGCCGCCTTTAGCAATATTCCATCAATATCACAGCGGGGGACATCAGAAAGGGCTTCACACATTGGACCTATGTGGGGAATCGAACCCGGGTATTCGGCGTGACGAGCGAACGCTTTAACCACTAGGCTGCCCCACCGCCATCTTGGAAGAGTGTATAAGCTGCACGAAAACCGGAGACTGTTTATCTGACGTAACGTCAGCTGGATACGACGTGGAGTGTGAACCCTCACTAATGAACATGTCCTCTTTGTACCAACCGTAAACGTTTACACGTGTAACGTAACGTTACGTGAACTATCACTAATCCCTCTACAAAAAACAGAGGTGAAATACATCCCCATTAAATATATCTGCAAGATCGTAGTTATTCAACCCCAGCTTACAATCATCTCTACTGACAGCTCACCTGATGATATCTATCGTTTGTTGCCGTTATGAAGTTCATGGACCTATTCTTCTCCACACCAACAGATGTTATCGTCGATTGTTTATTTCTAACTGCCTATTGCATGTGAGATGAAACGCTTTAACAGGTTACCCAATTAGTGTCAGAGCCGGAGTTTCGCAGGGATCCCAATGGGCTGACTGATAGCATTTCCACTGTAAATATTTTACAGGGATATGCATTATCATTCCTGGGAGATTTAACTAGACTACTTAAAGAATTTGTGATGAAATGAATATCACAAACAAATCTTTGAAGATTACCTGATTGCATGAACTCACCTGTGATATGACGGTACAGCGCCGTTGTTGAGATCACATGATTAACATGAACTCAGTAAAGAAATGGATGCACAAATCACGATATACGGTACTTGTACTATAGACAGGTGAGTGTCATTGGTCGCTGTAACGTGACTGTACTTTGCTGACATTGGTAATTCAACCTACCTTTATTGGCGTCGTAGTCCCCTATGTATCGTCGCGTAATATAGCGCACCGCAAAAGCTGAAAAACAAAACAAAACATTCTTTTCATTATACTTCATTCAGAATTTCTCGTGTAGGCCTACATATATATACGAGAAATACCTAAGGAAATACTTAATGAAATAACTTTTCAAAGTAAAATATTTATCATACATCAGTACTTTTCAATTGTTTTAGAGACAATGACATAGCCCAGTAGGTAAGGCGCTCGATGGTCGCACCGAAAACCAATGTTCGATTCCTCACGTCAGTACAGTATCTAGTGCCAACTTGTAGTGTCAGTGATATTAGTGGAATATTACTGTGATACTGTTGTGTCTAAGTAAAATATGAACACGTTGGGGGACCCCCAGTTTAAACTAAACCTCATGTATTCCACGCGTGCTTCGCGAGCCCATTAATGAGGATAGGTTGTTAAAGTATATGTCTGGCTTCATCTCTCTGGATCGTTGTTCATTGTAACAGTCTCTGGCCCGATAATTTTACAGGTACCATTATATTTTGCAGCATGCGACATAAAACAAATAATTCACTCACTTACATGTCACGCGTGAATGAGAAAAGCGATTACGACAAGATCGTTGCACTTGTAAGGGTCAAGACTATGAATTCTGTTTCACGTGTACTACACAACATGCATGTTTTACATTACCCAAACATTACTGCATCTCAGCTACGCGGTAATTCCTTAGTCATCTCAGGAATGATAACACAAGAACTCAAATTCCTAGCTACACTAAAAACATATGAATATCTCTCATACACGTCTTGCTCAATACTTCGCGGAGAGCGACCATGTCATGCGAACAACTCGATACCGCTACGATACGCTTAATGGAAAAAAACATAAATATACCCACGAAGTTGATAACGCTTTTGACACGGGGGCCAAGTGAATGTCTTGTCACTTTCCCACTGAGGTAATACAAGAAACCCCACAACAACGTAAGTTATATTCCACAACTTGCACACAATAGCCCACTCCGGTTTTCTGGCGAAATCTGTGTTTCTAAAAACGTCACAATCAACCCTTCAGCTAGAACACAAACCTGTCAGCTAATAAACCTGTCCTTTTTCGTGGTGTTTTGTTTGCGCGTTTTGAAAAAGGCTGATTCCGAGATGCTGTTTTTTGTGATTTGAATAATGCCAGCAATTGCTGCTTACTAAGGGGCATTGGTTCGTGTGACTGTTGCTTTGTCTAACCAGTTTATCAGCATGTCTAGACAGAGGGTTGAATGGGAAATACACGTGTAGCATGCTTTGTAAAAATATGTGTACTCAGCTGAATGTTTGTAGCTTGTGTGAGTGAGTTTTAGTTTAACGCCGCTTTTAGCAATATTCCAGCAATATCACGGCGGGAGACACCAGAATTGGGCTTCACACATTGTACCCAAGTGGAGAATCGAACCCGGATCTTCGGCGTGACGAGCGAACGCTTTAACCACTAGCCTACCCCACCGCCCATTTTGTGTTAGTGATAGAAGGGGTAACGAATATAGTTACTCGTATTATTCAGTTTAATTTCGAAAAAACACTTTCGGTCGCTTGGCCAATGTGTCAGGTACACGTATCGCTGAAATGAACTTTCAAGCAAATAGGGGCGGTGGGGTAGCCTAGTGGTTAAAGCGTTGGCTCGTCACGCCGAAGACCCGGGTTCGAATCCCCACATGGGTACAATGTGTGAAGTCCATTTCTGGTGTCCCCCGCCGTGATGTTGCTGGAATATTGCTAAAAGCAGCGTAAAACCAAACTCAGTCAGTCAGTTCAAGCAAATACCCCCTTGGAAACTACACAAGCAATATCAGTTCACTAATGCTCGGGGGGGATAACATATTAATCAGAGGTGAGTGTTTGAGCAGGGTGTATACAGGCCTGCAATGTTTCAGTCCCTAGAATCAAGTTGAACCCTTGAAGGGTTTTGGCAGGTCGTGCAAATTCAAAACAGTTTGATCGTCATAATTTGATTCTGAGAATGAGCAGGTTAATTATTGTCAGCAGAATGGGATGAATTACGAGAACGATCCATTCCATGCCTGGTGTCGAACTATGGTTTTTTTGCCGAGCGTGTTTTGAACATCATCATAGACGACCTTGCCACCAGCGGACCCCTCGCTGTGAAGCATCTACGTGAAGCAGTCCAGCTAATAGGTTGTATGGAAATAATTACCCCATCAATTCAGTCCGCCGTGTACGTCCTCTCTAACAACATAAACACATACACGTCAATACACACAGACTGAACACAAGCAGGAACACACGTGCATGTAGTCACACTGGCGTAATGTGTTTACTCCACACATCGACACCACGGTGCATGAGTTGCGCTGAGTGGAGTGAGTGAGTGAATGAGTATAGTTTTACGCGTTTTTTTAGCAATATTCCAGCAATATCATGGCGGGGGACACCAGAAATGGGCTTCACACATTGTACCCATGTCGGGAATCGAACCCGGTTCTTCGGCGTGACGAGCCAACGCTTTAACCACTAGGCTACCTTACCACCCCTCACTGATTGGAGGATCCAAATCACCATTATCATCTATTAAAAGGTATAGAAGTCTATCATTCGCGGTTAACTTCATGACTTTGACAAGATATACGCAATCTTATCGCGACTTCACCAGAGATAGGTTGTTCTTAAGAATTCCAAGTATAAAAAGGCAAAAGATCATTTCAGACCGTGCGGTTTTATGAAAGATTAAACCTGGATGGTTTTACGATGTTTTGACAGGTTTTAGTAGCACCGCAATACAGATTCTACAGGTAATACGACACCTCGACGTCTGCTAGGCAAATAACATCACTTGAAAAATACAAATCAGGCTGAAGATTCCGTGTAAACGTTTGTTCACACACAGAAAAATAGTAAGCGCCACACGTCCGTCATTAACTTGTAATTATTCTGATGTGTAATGAGAATATTCTACTGTCACGTTTTGCCAACAACTTGAACAGGGTAATATACAGAAATGATGATGTTTTTTCAGGAAGCTTAAAACAGTTGAGGCGCACAAAAACCGAAAGGTTCACATTCCGAATCATCTTTTGATTAGTTCAATTTTGGAAACACTTTGGGTAAGGAGAGACAAATTCTTCACTGGACAAACACATTCCTATACTCACTACTCCACATCCTATTTCTTGAGCAGACTTTTGCAGGTTCTAATGTGTCGTATTCGCAGTGCAGAGTTACTTCCCTTAGTCGCTAGATCCTTGAGGTTATACAAAGCCAAGTATTTTCCCATTTTATTGTGACGTTATATTATTTTTAAAATAACTAACTAAGCTATCAAGAGCTATTACATATACATGTGTGCATAGTCTGGCCTTAAAGAAGCAATTAAAATATAAAATATGACTCAGCCAGCCAATTTTCCGAGAACCGGAAGCCTAACAGACTAATAGCATCAGTTCCGCACGAAATGTCAAGCGCTTGAAAATATCCGTGGTCACATGCAGCATAAGTCATCATGTAAAAAAGACAGCACTGAATATTGACAAATATTTTCAGTTTTAATTACAGGGTGGATGTTAATTTTTTTGACAGCTGTCAGATGAAGAATCGTGACGAAAAGTGCTTGTTAAAGTACAGTCTAAGTAAACTTAGGCTCCGTATCATTCGTTACACTGCTATACTGAGTCTAACAAAGTCTAGTTGAGCGACCTATGACCGTCCAATCAAATGCGAGACGGCCGAACGGATTTACCCAATCAGACAACGGCTACTGTTTAGGGTTCGGCGGGACTTACAAAATTCCCCGGTCGCTGACACTGATCTCTCAACAAACGAAAATCTGCATAAAACACAGGTATTTGACCTGCAGTATATTCACTTAGGGCTTTCTGATGACATGGTTACCATTAACTACTATTTCCGCAAGCTGACATTGTGGAATATTGACAAAAACGCTATTTTCAGCTTACTATTGTGGCGTGCTCCATGTGCATCAATCTGAAGCGATCGTACGGTAAAATAGCATTGGGAATCGTTAGTTTACAAACTTTTTCGAGGTAAACGTTCAAAAGGTATGTGCGAATGTCAACTTTCGCGATTTGATAAGCTGTGTTCTGTTTGGTCAATTGAAATGGTTAGGTAACGCGACCTCCTACTAGGGTTTGTTAGACTCAGTATAAGCAGTGTAACGAATAATACTGAGCCAAAGTTTACTTAGACTGGTTAAAGTACGGATTCTGATTTGGTGTAGTGTAACCTTGATAGTCCACGGTTGACCCTGGGTTGGCCTTTCTTGTGACTATGGGCTTCATCAATGTCATAAATATCTTGAAAGCTAAAACTCACGAACTGAACTAAAGCCGCTGATCTGAATGATGCAAAGTAGTGGGCAACAGCAGCAGGGGTGGACAGTTGACTGATGGGTCAGTTGCGTGATTCTGTTTCCGTATGTGGAGTTACACATTTCCTTTACTCCTGAAGTATTTCTGTTGGGAATGGTATTGGTGTACTACTGATGGTGCATGTCTGTAACGGCGCTGTGATGTTGTATGAGTACTGGGTCACTGCCGTAATACTGCTGTAACAAAGCTGATATTATGGCAACATATAAGCTTTATTACAGCAGTATTACGGCAACATATAAGCTTTATTACAGCAGTATTACGGCAACATATAAGCTTTATTACAGCAGTATTACGGCAACATATAAGCTTTATTACAGCAGTATTACGGCAACATATAAGCTTTATTACAGCAGTATTACGGCAACATATAAGCTTTATTACAGCAGTATTACGGCAACACATAAGCCTTATTACAGCAGTATTACGGCAACATATAATAAGCTTTTATTACATCAGTATTACGGCAACACATAAGCCTTATTACAGCAGTATTACGGCAACATATAAGCCTTATTACAGCAGTATTACGGCAACACATAAGCTTTATTACAGCAGTATTATGGCAACATATAAAGCTTTATTACAGCAGTATTATGGCAACACATAAACTTTATTACAGCAGTATTATGGCAACATATAAGCTTTATTACAGCAGTATTAC